TCCGTATGTATCCCATTCTAATTTTTTAAATATGTCTTCATGAATAGATGACAGGGATATTCGTGTTATTCAAAATTTGTACTGGAATCAACCTGTTATCGTAAAAATTGGAGATAACTACACCAATGAAATCTTTATACAACGAGGGGTCAGACAAGGTTACCTTTTGTCGCATTGTTTAATGTTTACTCGGACCAGTTATTTAAAAAGGCACTTGAGAGACAACCATATGGAATAAAAATCAACGTAAAACTACTTGATGTGATTAGATATGCAGACGGTACAGTAATTCTATCAGATAATAATGAAGGTCTTCAAATCATGCTTGATCATATTTACGAGGTAGGAGAGGAAATGGTCATTAAACTAAACTTAAACAAAACCAAATTTTTAGTGTTTAGTCGTGACCCACATCCCGATGCAAAGCTTTAATTAAACAGAGTCCAAGTTGAGAAAGTTCACAAAATGACGTATTTGGGAACTGTGATAACGAACCAACTAGATCCAAATAAGAAATGAAACGTAGAATAGCAATGACTAAAACTACTTTTATGAAAATGAAGTAATTTCTTTGCAATAACCATCTCAGTTTAGAACGTCTTAGTTCTACAGTTCTAAAGAATGGTTAAGTTCTATGTTTCGTCTGTACTTTTGTATAGTGCATAAGTGTGGACTGAATGTGGGTTCATAGACGAATGCTGAAGGTACCTTGGACAGCAAGAAAAACTAATGAAGAATTACTAAGGAGCTTCAATAAAGATAGAGAACTGCTAAAGACTGGTAAACATCAAAAAATGTCTTATCTGGGACATATAGTAAGGAGAAGTCGATATAAAATATTACCACTTATCCTTAAGGGCAAAATAGAGGGCCGTAGAGGTGTAGGGAGACAACAAGTTTCTTGGTTAAAAAACATTCGTGAATATCAAATGTGATATCAAATGCAGGACAATTATTCCATATTGCAGAAGATCGAGAAGCCTTCGCAGTGGTGATCGCAAACGTCGGATAATTCTGATATAGCACGCGAAGAAGAAGAAGACTGGTGAATTTCCTTGTATTGAGTGACTTGGACTGTTAGCGGACGCCAGCGGCAAAAAATTGATGCCTTTGAGATGTGGTGCTGGAGAATAATGAACATTTTTATTTTAAACCAACTGGAGATTAAAAAAAAGGCTGTCAACAATATGTCTGTAAACTATTCTGCAATTTTTCGGTTACGTGGTTCGCAGAGGTGACGATAGTTTGGAAATATTAATTGTTTCTGGAAACTTTCCGGAGAAAAGATCAAGAGGACGATCACAAACTAGATGGTCCGACCAAATTAAGAATTCAGCTGGAAACTTATTTTGCGAAGCTCTCAGAGTAGCTGAAGATGGAGACCAATGGAGAAAAATTGTAGGAATATTGGAAAAAATCACGATCCTTAGTTATGGGGAAACGACAAAAGAGAGAAAAATGTTTCGGTGTTCATTTTTTGCCGAGATATTGAAAATTGATTTACGAGCTCGGTTTACACACTACAGCATTCGCTGCTAGGTGACCGTAGGCTTAAATATTATTAGATATTATCATCATTTGTTTTCAATATAATATATATATATATATATATATATATATATATATTATATATATATATATATATATATATATATATATTATATATATATATATATATAATATATATATATATATATATATATATATTTATATATATATATATATATATATATAATAAGAAGTTATGTGGTTAAATTTGAGAAATATTTAGTGAAACTCGTTAAAAAATTATTATAGGTTACTTGGCGTTTCATCTTTTCTTTATGAACATGAAGCACTTACAGATTAAAAAGTCATTTGCACGTAAACCCATTTTTATATACACATAACAATGTACATATCACTTAGAAGGTCCATGCTGCAATCTAAGAATAAATTGATTACAATCATTTAAAATTTACCGCAATTTAAACTTTCGTGAAATAAAAATATCTAATATAGTTACAAATAGAAGTTATTATATACCCAAATTGCTGCACATTTTACATACATATTTTAGTACATAGTTTGTAAAATTAAAGTTTGTCTTTTTAAAGAGCATCGAAACAAACACTGCAAATATTTTTGTTGTACATAGTTTTCAGTTGTCTTGTACTTATTCTATTGATGTATCTTGTGATTAAATTAGATAACTAAAATATATCAAACTATACCTTAGATTGGTATTAAAGGTTTATATACAATATTTCCTTAAAGTTAACTTTACGTCATTCAATTTTGACGTTTAACTTTTCGCACAGAGTTGCCGTATTGTCAGGAAAGTAGAGAATATAGGGAATTATGTAATGATGAATGTAATTATCATAATAGATTCATCTACAAGAGAAATTATTCTACAAGAGAAATGTACCAAAGGAGGTAGCTCAGAAAATACAACTGAAACAAATAGACGACATGGAATATACAAACGCAAGAAAAGAGAATATTGAAGAAGCTGGAACAGAAGCTTTAGGAAAACGCAAAGTCATACTGAACAAAAGAAACAACAATACACCATGGTTCAGTAAAGAAATTAAATGTAAAGAGAAATAAGAAGCCTACACAAAGTACAAACCATCAAATACTCCAGAATCCCGGGACACCTATAGAAGAATACGAAATGAAACAAAATAGTTAGTAAGAAGAACAAAAAATGAACACTGGGAACAGTTTACAAAAAGGATGGAGATTCATAAGAAACCAACGGAAAGTAATGGCAGAATTAAAAGAATACAATAAACATACCAGCAAACGAAATGGGAAAGATATCTGACAGCACTTTTTAAAGGAATGGAAAATAATAGGACAACAGCTGGATTAAGACACTAATCAGCAAAACGATAGCAATGATCATGAAAGGAGATAAAGAAGACCCAAATCTTTATAGAGGTATAAATCTCTCAATAAAATCAATAAACTTAATTTAAACAACTTTATCAGATAAACAACAAGGATTCAGATCCGAAAGATCTTGCGTAGACGCCATATTTGTACTAAGACAAATCACAGAAAAGGCCATAGAGTACAATAATCCAGCATATCTATGTTTTATAGACCTGACAAAGGCTTTTGATCGCATCCAAGTCGAAGATGTCTTATACCTACTGTATAAAAGAAACATACCAATCAGTATTATACAAACCATCGAAAACATCTACTTCCATAATCGAATACCAGTACAAAGAGGAATAAGATAGGGTGGCTCATTAAGTCCACTTCTCTTTAATATGATAATGGACTAAATAATACAAGCAGTTCGTAAAGGTCATGGTTACAGAATGGGGAACAAAGAAATCTTAAAATCCACAAGGAAAACAATTCCTGTAGCTGGCTGTATACCACGTATCACAAAAAAGAGGTTAGTCTTTGTAAGTGGGTATATTTATTTAAAAAACCCTTAAAAGAGCTACATCAAAAAAACAAACGTTTTCGGACTAAACAGTCCATCATCAGGTTTAACATCTGCTAGGTTAAAATGCCTGAGCCACCAAAAATACATGGGTAAAAACCCTTTAAATTACTTATAATTATCAAAGATAATAATTTTTTAACAACAAGATGTATTATCTTTGATAACTATAAGTAATTTAAAGGGTTTTTACCCATGTATTTTTGGTGGCTCAGGCATTTTAACCTAGCAGATTTTAAACCTGATGATGGACTGTTTAGTCCGAAAACGTTTGTTTTTTTGATGTAGCCCTTTTAAGGGTTTTTTAAATAAATATACCCACTTACAAAGACTAACCTCTTTTTTTTTTAAGAAATCTCAATATTATATTATGTAGACGACGCCGCATTAATCGCCGAGACAAAAGACGAGCTCCAAAGATTAATATACATCTTCAATACTAGAGCCCAGAAGTACAATATGATAGTATCAGCAGAAAAAAACCAAATGTATGATAACATCTGCCCACACTACTATGTAAAATCGAAATGAATAGCAAAATAATGAAGCAGGAAGCAAGGTTTAGATATCTGGGAATAGATATAACTAGTTACGGAAATATTAAGGAAGAAGTATGACAACAAAGCTTAAAACCAAGTAAAGCGGCGGGATCTCTTAATGACACAATCTGGACGAACAAACATCTAAGACAAGACACAAAAATGAGAATCTATAAAGCAGCAATTAGACCTATACTAACATACACGGCGAAGACAAGACCTGACATATCTAAAACGAGACGACTACTACAAACAATAGAGATGAAAATACTCAGACGAATATCAGGGAAAAGTCTGTTGGATAGGGAGACAAGCGAAAACATCAGAAGAGATTGCAATATAGAAGACATAACTGAACGGGTGACAAAACGGAAACAGGAGTGAAATGAACACTTTAGTAGAATGGCAGAGGGTAGAATAGTACGAATAGCACGAGATAAGTCACCAAATGGACAGAGAAGTATTGGCAGACCAAGAAAAAGATGGTGCGATAATTTAAACAATTTAGGAGCCTAATATTGAATAACAAACAGGCTTTAAAGCCTGCGTACAAGAAGGAAGAAGAAGATTCATTTACAGGTATATGATGAATTATACATGACAACTCTGGAAATGATACCAATACCTCCTGTAATGTGTAGTACATTAAATTGAACATAAATTGGTGTGCAGTTTTTTCAATGTTATTTAAAGTAAATTATTGTTTTTAAGTACCAAATATTATTCTTCAAATGTAATTTTATTGAAAATATGATGCATATAAAATAAAATAATTATTAAGAAACTTCTAAAACTATTTTTAGGGAATTTAAAATCTGTCTTCTCAACTGCGGAAACATTTTTATATGTATAAATAAGTTGTGCTATAATATATCGATTTTTGAAGGATAACAAAAAAAGTTAATAATATTCAGTCCTACACTTTTACCGTAGGTAAATAGTTTGTTGATAATCTTTGTAATTTTATTAAAGTATTCTTAGATTACAGCCAATAGTCCAACTTTTTAGTACATTCAAACTAATCCAGACATAGGTGGCCTACTTACAGGACTAGAAGGCAGACTATGTACAGCGGCGGCCACCGCTGCCTGATGGTGGTAGTACAAACTACTGGGGTATCCAGGTGATGATACAACTGAGGTACTGCCGGCATTCCCGGAATCTCTACTTTCCAAAGGATGATGTAGACTTAGAGGATGGTTTTGTTCGAATGGATGCCGTATCGAGGAATTCGCAGATTCGTGGTAGAGGATCGGTACTCGGACGAGGCGTTGAGCTGCGTGCGCCATGTTGGCAGCTTCTAGTTCCGCTGCTAATTGCCGTTTCCATTTGTTTCTGCGATTTTGAAACCATATTTTTACCTGAAATATAAAGAAAGTTGTTTAGTCGATATATGAAAAAAATTATCTGCATGAAATTAAACTGCATGAAATACAAGAACAAAGAACTTATTCAAACGTTTTAAACAAAGTATTTAGAAAGTAACGTTGTCGTTATTATATTTGTCGAAAGTAATATCGTCAAAAAACGCGATATTGTCAAAAGAGAAAAATTAAAGTAGCTTGAATCGGAGCAATGATGACTTGATTGAACTATTTCAAAACAAGGAATATTCACTTTAACTATAATTGCTATCTTCAATAGAAGATTGTTATACTATTGATGAACTAAAAAGTAAACAATGTTTACTCTACCTTGGAGTAATTGCTAATTTAAGGTGATTGGAGTATCAAAATGTATATAACCGTATTCTGAAAACAACCCGGATGTAAATGTGTGTTGAAATAAACACAACTAGTATCTATAAATCTCTTTAACCTGACCAATGGTAAAAAAATTATAAGAAGAAAAACTAAAATAGTGAAATAAAATACTAAAAAACTTAGGGTCTTCTTGGATCCCATTTGGATATTTTTACAACAAAAGAGGCCCGACTTACCTGAGTTTCTGTAAGATGTAAGCTAGCTGCCAATCCTGCTCTTTCCGAAGACGACAAATACCTCTTCATGTCAAACGTACTCTCCAACTGAAAGACTTGCGACCTCGAGAACACAGTCCTGGTTTTCTTTTTTCGCTTATTCGATAACGAGTTCCCAGGACTCATACTTGCACCATTTCCCTTTTTGTCTTTATCATTATCGTAATCGCTTTCTTCGTCTTCTATATCTTCCTCTATTACCAAATTCTCATTTTCTCGATAAGGACTTTTTGATCTAATATTAATATAATTCTGATCGAGGAAAGCGGGATGTGAGGATGGAATTATACTTGAATTATTTGGACTAGAGGTTGGTGATCTTTGGTGGTCTGAGGGAGAAGAGGGGCGAGAAGAACGACTCTCGGTGTTGGTGATTGGTTGGGGATGCGGAGAAATTGGCGGGCTTGGGTCTTCGGTTGTTGATCCACCTGCAACAAAAGAAAACATTTAATTAATATCAATTATAGAGTTTGGGAAGTCATATAGGATGAACAATAACGAAAACTTAAAAATACACTTACGTCTTCATTTAAACTTTTATGGACCATTACCTACAAATTGAACATTTATAACAAATTTTGGAGAAGTACTAAAATGACTTGTTTTTAAAACAGTGAAGGAAAAAGTAGGATGAGGACGACTGGAGAGAAATTCTTGAGGATTCTAGGAGTTAGGACCTACGCTGGGTTGTTGTAAAGCAAGAATGATGATGGTAATGATGAAAGAAATACTAACATTAATTATTTTAACCCTGAGTTGGTTTGGTGGGGTGTCATACACCCCACGCATGCAAAAAATGGAATTTTTCTCAAAAATAGCATCTTACCGCCCTCTATTGTTCAGTAGCTGTTAATATAACATCACTCTATCGGGTAGCATTGTTATTTTTATAATTTCTTTAATGCCCACTTTTATAGATGTCAGAATATGTCGCAGGAGTATGTCACACCCCACCACACCTCCGGCGTCAGTCAGTTAATCATTGTTAATGCCTGGACATTTTTTCCGAACTTCACGTGATTGTTTTGTTTTTTACTCTGGTTGTTGTGCACAAAATTTGTTATGAATATGTGTAGTTATGAACAAGAGCAAGCAAGGTTGCTAAGATTCTGGGAAGGGGAGCAAAGTGATGAAGATTAGGCTATTCCTGATTCCGAAGACGAAGTGCAGCTTGACAATGTTGGTGAAAGTTCTCATGACACAGACACAGAACTAGATGGCGACAAAGATGAAAGTGAACAAGAGAATGGAGATGATACGCGTTCATTTGCTAGATATTATTGGGGCAGAGATAAAGTGACGAAATGGGCTAAAAAGGTAGAACTATGATCGGTTTGCACTAGAGCCGAAAATATAATTTCTCAATTGCCTGACGTGAGAAGCAAAAACTGCAATTTATTGTTGAAAGCTTTTCATGGATAACATACTCATTGCTGATATTGTAAAACATACTAATAAGAAAATCAATTCAGTAAGTGAACGTTTCAACGATAATCACCAATACTTAGTAAAATAGACCTCGGAGCAAAAAATCAAGGCTGTATTTGGATTACTTTATTTAGCAGGAATTCATCGATCGTCCTGGTGAAACCTTGAAGATTTCTGGGCAAATGATGGCACAGAAATGCCCATATTTAAGAAAACTACGTCTCTAAAACGATTTCAACTAAGGTGCTTGCGGTTTTACAATGGAGCTACAAGCGTAGATAGAATCAAAATCGATAAATTAGCCCCGATTAGAAGTGTTTTCGAAAGAGTAGTTGACAATTTTTAGTTTGCCTATACACCTAGCATGTATCTCACTGTTGATACAAAATTGGAGGCATTTCGTGGCAGGTGCCCTTTTCGGTAATACATTCTAAATAAACCGGCTCCTTATGGGATCAATATCTTTGCTATAGTCGATTCGTGATGTTACTATACTACAAACTTGGAAATTTATTGTGGGTGTCAACCGGATGGTCCTTTCAAACTGACTACGAAGCCTACAGATGTAGTTTTACGATTGATTTCACCAGTATCTGACAGCAAACGAAATATCACATTCAATAATTATTTCAATAATTATCCATACATGCAACAACTTCTTGAAGAACACTAGTTAAGATCTGTGGGTACTGTCCGAAAGAACAAGAAGCAAATTCCTTCCACAATGGTCAACACAAAGAATCGAGAACAGTATTCTACACTTTTTGGTTTCCAAAAAAATAAAACCTTAGATCCTATATCTCAAAGAAAAACAAAAATGTTGTTATCAACGCTACACTATGATGACAGAATAGACTCATCTACGGAAAACGCTAGGAAGCCAGAAATAGTCACATTCTACAATGTTACTAAAGGAGGGGTTGACGTTTCCCGAAACAGCAGAAGGTAGCTGTTGACGGTATTCTATGCGCTCTTGAATATGTGTGGAATTAACTCCCAAGTAATCTATAAGATCAACAATAATGACAATACATTGAAGCGTCGGAAATATTTGAAATATCTTAGTTTAAATGTATAATTATACACCGAAGAATTTGAAATCATAAATATCAAAGAGGAAAACCACAACTTAGGTGTTCAGAAGACAGAAAAACAAAAAATGAATCAAGCAAGATCGAAAAATCTGGATAAATAAGGCGGAGGCCTTTGTTTAAAGATGGATATTATTTGTATGTTGTTTTGGAGTAATGAGATACTTGGTATAATTGTTATTAGCATGAAAACACTTTTAATTGACTGAGAAAGCTTGTATTGGAAACTTTTGTAATTTTTTTTCTAATTTTTATTTACGTATACATAATAAGAAAATATACACCTTGATCCACCACTGCCTTATATTTATTTAAACTTTAAAATCATATGCAATAACGGTTTTTGGCACACCAAAAGGACTGTTATAAAACAAAATGTGTCCATTTACATAACAGCATGACCACACTAAGAGTTTAAACGCTAAATTTTTAATTAAATTGAAGTGTTCTCATTTGTTTAGTACGACGAAGTGCCATTAACGCGTGGTGGATAAACATCACGTAAAGCGACATTTTGGACATTTACAAGCATCAAAACCATTTTTGTCCTCCAAGAAACACCTGGCAGTCGGTGAACATGTTAATATATTTTTGCACGTTTTGTCAATTTCATGAAGGAATGAATTCGTTTGCATTTATTAGTTGTTGTTGACGTTAGCGGTATTTATCAAAAGAACGATTACATGAATTTTTTTAATAAAAGCTGTTTATTATTATTAGCACAATTATAATTAATTTATTATTAAATTATTTTTTACTTAATACAAACAGTACCTATAATATTGAATAAAATTAATAAATTTTACATGTCTTATACGTGCAGAGGAACATGTTTTGATAAGCTCTCAGAAAAAGAGAGGGTGGCAATAGTTTCTAAATTTTGGGAGCTTAAGAACTATGATATTCAAAATGCGTATATTTATATACGTTTGTGTGAAATAGAATTAAATGAAAGGCTAGAAAAGTAAATACACGATAGATATTCACAATTGAATACAGTTTTCAAACAAACAATACGGGATTAAAAATTTGCAAACAAGCTTTTATTTCTGTACACGGAATTGGTAGAGGCTGAGTGGAGTTTATTGTAAATAAAATAAGGGAAGGAAACAAAGTGGTAAACATGGAAACCAAAAAAGGAAGTACCAGCAAAATGATATTGAAACAGTTCATCGTTTTATAGATTCTTTGATACGATGTAAAAGTCATTATAGTCGCAATAAAATCTTAAATAAAGAATATTCGAGTCTGGAGTATAATATTGACTTACTATGAAAGTTACAAAGAAAAACTACCAAAATGAAAATCTACTAACAAATTCTGAACAAATTCAGAAGAGTTTTCACAGAGGATTATAATACCTCGTTCAAATAGCCTAATTCCAACATATGTGCAAAATGCGATGAATTTCAAATAAATATAAATAAAGCTAGAGAAACTGGAAACATCGAAAAACTTAAAGATTAAATAAACAAAGAACTACATTTAAAAAAGGCTGAAGCATCGAGAAATATTCTTAAGCAAGTAGTGGAGCAATTCAAAGTAAACAAAAATGTTCATGTAATAACATTTGGCACGAAGGAATTGCCAAACAAGGATCTGATGAAGTTTCCACTTGCTTAAACAAATATTTTGAAAAATTTGATGTCTGCGGAAAAACACACAGATAACTGTTGTAGTCAAAATAAAAATTGTACAGTCGTGGGATTTTGGGTACTAGCATGTCTATTAGCTTCTGGAAGATTAAAAAAATTGTTTATGTTTTCCACAGGTAGGTCATACTATGTTACCTAGTGATAGGTATCCAGATTTTGCCCTCGTGGAAAAACATACAAAAACGAATACTGCAGTCTTTTTTCCTAGTGGTTGGGAATATATTCTAAAGGGAGCCAAAAAGAAAAGACCTTTCGTTGTAACTAGTCTAAAGAGAGAAGACATTTTTAATTTTTCTCATCTAAGGGAGCAGTTTGTCCAAGCTAATTTTGGAATAATCATCAGTGTGAAGTTGGAATTTAATATTGGTAATCCTTTTGTCACAATCCAGAGATCACACTAAGCAAAATCCAAGACGCAATGAAAAAGATGAAAAACAACAAAGCACCAAGGAGAAGATGGAGTTGTAATAGAAGCTATAAAGATGGACGGACGTGCCATTCTCAACCAAATAAAAATGTTGTTTAACCTTTACCTAACAGATTGTTTCATATCGGAAACATGGAACAATGCAGTAACAATTTTACTACACAAGAAAGGAGAAAAGGCGCACCTAGAAAACTATAGACCAATTAGCTTATTGAACCACATCTATAAAATGTTTACCCTAACAATTAGGACAACACTAGAAATAAAGTTGGATTTTTACCAGCCCCAAGAATAAGCTGGCTTCCGCTCAAAATTCGGAATAAACGATCACCTACAAACAGTAAAAACCTTAATACAAAAATCGATATAATATAACAGATGACTGGTACTTATCTTCGTAGATTTTCACAAAGCCTTCGATACCGTGGAATTAAACAGCATTATAACTGCTCTGACCAATAATACCGGCTTACAAAGTTAGTACAAACATTGTACCAAAACGTCACAATGCGCGTAAAACTACATGATACCACCAGAGAAATGCATATACTTAAATCGAGGTGTGAGACAGGGTGACACTCTCTCACCTAAATTATATATAACGGTCCTTGAATACGCCTTTAAAATGCTAAAGTGGGAAAATAGAGGAATATAAATAGATGGGGAAATGCCCAATCATCTGCGTTTTGCCGACGAAAGTACTTATTACCGAATATCTGCGTTAAGTACAACAAATGCTACAAGAATTAGAAAACGTGTATTCAAAAATAGGTCTAAAAATAAACATCAGTAGGACCAAATTTACGACAAATTTGGTTCCCAGCGAA